GACAGGAGCAGGCGGGGCCGCGGGCGGCGCAACAGTAGTGTAGTTGCTCTCGTCAGCCCACGGGTCGTACTCGGAGATGTTGTCCCAATCGGCGGCGCGGTGGTGGCTGGAGGCCTCCGAGGCCTTGTCGGTCTCGTCGTCTGTGCCCTCCTGGCTCTCATCACCTTCCTGCCGACGGGGCTCTAAACTCTCTCCAAACCATTCTCGAATTTTCGCGTGCCTCTTCTCACGAGCAGCCTGCCTAGCGATATCCCTCTTGGCCTTATTTACACTGGATTTGGACCCCTCGACCGCCTGCTTCGGCGGCCTGGGGGCTCGGGGAAGCCTCGGGGGGAGCTCGAGAAAGCGAGTGAAAAGCTGACTGCCAGTCGACACCAACTCGATGCACAATCCGATGTGTGGTTTCCATGGGACGGCACAAACAGCAGTAACAGCCCGAATGTACGCCCTAGCTGAAGGACAAACCACCAGATAGTCGAGGTGAGATGGCTTCTGATCTCCCCCAGGAGTGCACGTGAAATCGGCATTGCTACACACAATCTGCCCCCCAGTGCGCTCCAGAAAGCCAGTTTTTACCAGGGCGCTGGGGCTAAAATTCCAATCTGCTGCAATGACCCAGGGCAATTGCAGACTGGCGACTAGACTGGCAAGCTTACGAAACCGTGAAACATTCTGATCCCGAAAACCTATAGACGAGTGTCCGTAGAACACGGTATAGACCAGGGAGAACCCTTTTAGGTGCAGGACCACTGGAAGAAACCCGTCAAAAGCCGAACCGCGATCTGCTCGCAATCCGCGCGCTGACTTCGCAGCGTCCAACACCTGAACAGGCAAATGATTCTTAGCATAGAAGAATTCCCCTCCTTCGCAGCTCTGTGCTGATTGAGCTTGGCCTTTGGCCTAGCTGGGTTGACTAGAAGCTTGAACGAGCATTGTTTGGCCTTCTTTTTCCAACCTACAACTGCTGCTGGCAAAGTGTGTGTCTCACAAGGTGACATATAATCATGCGACGAGCGCTGCAAGAGACGGACGTGCCCCCAAGCCTTATCGCCCATGCAACTCACGTTCGCAAAAAAAAGAGGAAAGATGAACGAGCAGCACCACTCGTAGCCGCTGTCGACGTCGAAGTGGTGGCTGCAGGCGGAGACGCAGTAGATGTCGCCACGGACGTACTGCACCCCTCGAATCCCGAAGTTGTGGTACCAGTACCCGTCATACTGGAAGCCCCTGGCGTCTGCGAAGACGCCCTCGTAGTAGTTGTGGAACCTAGTCACGAAGCGGCCACCCCGTCGCCGCTCTGCTTGGCGGCCTGGGCGGCAGCCTCCTTCTCCTTGGCGGCAGCCTCCTGCGCCGCGAAGCGCGCCCTCGACAGGCGCTCAGCCTCCTTCTTGAGTGCCTCGTCGTCGGCCTGGGTGGCCTCGGCGGCGGCTGCGCCACTGCCTGCTGCCGCAGGGGGCGTGGCGGCCTCGCCCGCGCCCGCGGCTGCGGTGCCGCTGCCGCCGCCGTCGCCAGCACCCGCAGCAGCGCCGTCAGCGCCGCGGCGCTTCTTGGCCATGCGCTCCTGCACCGCCTTCTGCTCGTTCTTGACGCGATCGACGAAAGACTTCCACTCCGCGTCCTTCGCCTGGATGGTGGTCCGATAGGCCTCGAGCTCCTCCTTGAGAGCCCTGAGCTTGGCCTTCTCCGTCTCGTCGCAGTCCCACTGCTCGAACGAGGCGAAGAGTTCCTCGTTGAGATTGAGCCCGAAGCACGCAGCCTCCGAGTCGGCCTCCTTGGGCGACGGGCGGAAACCAGCACCTTTGGCGAGTGCTGCTGTGGCTGCCTTCTTGGTGGCCTCGCACTTGGCCACCTCCAGAGCCGCGCTCTGCTCCTTCTGCTCGGCTGTGGTCAGCTGCTTGCGCAGGCGCATGACCTGCTCCACGAGCTGGCCGTGCCTGTTGGTCGCCGCCTTGAGCGCCCCGTCGGCCTGCTTGACCTGGTCGACGTCCGAGGGTGCTGAGGCGGCTGCCTGGCTGGCGAGCCGCTCCCTCTGCGCCCTCAGCACTGCCTTGAGCTCGGCGTCGGCTGACTGGGCCAGAGCCTGCTCCAGCAGCGCCGCGACCTCCTGCTGCTGAGTGGCCTTGCCACCCTGGCCGCCACGGCGACCGCCTCGCGGGGTGCCCGCCTTGTCGTCCTCGAAGCGCACGTGCCGGTCGCCTCGCTCCGCATTGGGAGATCTCGACCGACTGGGCTTGCGAACGAATAACCGAACTTTGTGAGCACAACGTGAGCACCGATTGTCGTTCAACTGCAGCCGATCGTTGTACTCGCATGTCTTGCAGTGGCTGCACCGCGACCGTGCACGTTGAGACTGCACATTCTGTGGCTGTGGCTTGCCCATATTGATGCAATGAATTTTCCCAGCTCTCGTTATCCTCGACTGAATGTGGGGGACAGACAGGTGAAGATATCCCTCAAGCGCCGCACGAAGGCACTGGGATGGACTAGAACACGGGCCTCCGTCGGGGCGGAGGACTTGGTGCTCGAGCCCAAGTGGCTTGAGGGAGGAGGAGGAGGAGGAGGAGGAGGAGGAGGAGGAGGAGG